GGCAGGTACTAGTAGGGGCGGCTTCAGTCAACCCCTAAGCCAGTGTAAACACGTTTTAATAGAGATTCGCTCGAGCGGCTATAATAGCTTTCGGATGTAGCGGCCCATTCGACTTGCTCTCTCCCTCTTCTTCTTCTTCTTCTTCTTCTTCTTCTACTTCTTCTTCTTCTACTTCTCTCTTTCTTTCTCTTTCTCCTCACCATCCATTACTCGATCTCTTTTCCATCGACCCCCATCCCATCTTTCTCGCGGTAGTTATACACGTAGATCTATGCATTCCCTCTCCAGAGTACTTCATCTTTCTACGATCTCTACTACTTTTGTTTCTACGAAATACTTTTCTCAATTTCCTAAACTAAATCGTAAAATTTTTTTACAAGTACTAGCACATTTGCTTGTATATACATGTGTAGGTAACTAGGTATCCGATAAGAATCTAATTTAATTTTCATTTCTTTTATTTCGTTTTATTTTCTTTTTTAATTGTTTTTTTAATTACTTACTTTAATTTGGAGCAAGTATTTGTAATTAACGTTCCTATTGCATTTTGTAAAAAGCGAAACCGACCTTTTGAATCTTTAAGATCTATATGCGTTAAAATTCGAAAATGCTTGGAGCGCTTGATTAAAGATGAGATTAAAATTTTTAATTCATTTAAGCGTTTACTTTGGTAATAATAATGAAGTTTGAAAAAATAAAAGAGTAAAAGAAGGGAAAAATTGTAAAGGATAGGTGGGGGAGGAAGGTTGAAAAGATTGAAAAAATATCGTGACATGATTGTTACGATAATGATAATAAATAATTGAAACGTTCGATGGTATGTGTTTATGAATTATTATCGATAAACGTTGTTTTAATTAATAGAACGTTTTAATAATGAACAAGTCGTGTCATGATCGTGGCACGCTTTTCGAGAAGAATTTTCGACGTGAGAGCCGCACTAACGACGAAAATCTTAAAGAAGGAAAGAGTAGAGTGATTAGTGCAAAACTTTATCGACTTACTTACTAGAAAGTTTTCAACATAAAATGGTAACGTAAAAGTAGCGCGTAACAACAGAGAGGAAAACTTTAATAAAAGCCATCGTCGACGACACATCTGCAAGACTTCTTTCTCTCTCTCTTTTTCTCTCATTCTCTTTCTCTTTCTCTTTCTATATTTTTCTTTTTCTATCTATTTTTTTTTTATTTCTTTCTTTTCGCGTTGAGAGAAAAAGAGTTGCAGTCTCGCGATATCACAGTGCAATTATCTCGGTGGAAATGAGCTTTTGAGCTTTGCATAGATGCCTAAAACCACGTATGCAATACCGAGAAAGATGTATATGTATGTATGAAAGAGGTCGCGGACGGGAAAAGCTCGTATTTATACGTTCAGACGAGATAAAACGATGTCTTAGGGGCACCTGAAGCATTTACGGTATACCCAACGCCACTCTTTTTAAAAAAGAGAGAGAGAGGGAGAGAGAAAGAAGGAAACTCAAACGGGCAACTCGACGTTTTAAAATTCACGAGAAACTTGTTCGCTAGTGAAATTGCAGTAAATACATTATGAAAAATCTCTGTTTCCTTACATGAAAGAGAAAGAAAGTCAGAGGAAAGAGTAAGGAAATAAAGAATAAGAAGAAGTTTTTTTGTTTTCCATTGGCAAGAAATATCTTTTTCTTATTTTACATATAAAAAAAAATCATGATAATTATCCGAGAAGGAATTATTATGAATCTTAAATTAACAAGTACAAAATCCTCCTAATAAGATCCTTGGTTAACTTTACGTGTGGTTGGCCGAATTCTCTTTCAACTTGTAAGTACTCTGCTCGTTGGTGCTTTGAAATTAAGAGGTCAGCTGGATTTTACTATGACGAACTGTGTGTATACCTATTTTGAGAAGTCACTTTTTTCTATACTCCTTTTTTTTTTTACAAATTCCGGAGAAAGGGGAAGGAATACGCAAGGTAACGGGATACGAACGGACGACTTTTAAGGTAAAGAGAGAGTGAGTGAATGAATGAGCGGGTGAGAAAGAGAAAGAGAAAGAGAGAGAGAATCGAGAAAGTAGGGGTGGAAAGGTGCAAGAGGTGGGGTTTGCTAAGCTGAATAATTCAAGCTCTCATTAGGGCGACAAAAGCACCCTGATGGATAGCTGCTTGGCTTCGTTGGCCGTCGTCTGTATGAACTCACACGTATGTAATATTTCCCTATGTTATCGTTTATGTGTATGGGACACCTATTGCATTCTCTTGAAATATTATATAGCCGCGTACGTTGCAAACATTTCACTAACACACACACAACTATAAATTAATATACTTCAATATCGCAACAATTTATTTTAAATTATGTGATATTTGTTATCCTTATTTATATGAATTCTATCTATTTTAATAAAATATAAATACACCATTCTACTATTTATAAATATCTATTACTTTAAAAAATTATGTTCAATTTGTCAAACTACGTTTACTAGATGCTTGATATTGTATTACTTATAAATTTTAATTTTGATTAATTTGGATTTTATTTACCAATAAAATATTACGAATTTTACAATTCATAGATATCTATTATTTTAGACGATTACTTCGAAAATCTATTACAATGTTTCGAGGAATGATTAAATAGTATTCGCCAGTAATTAAATAGTTAACATATTGTATTTCAACTTAAATAAATAGTCGAGTGTTTCGTTATCGATCATCGTGATTCGTTATTCAACACGTCAGCCGTATTATAAACTCGATCACTCTCAGGCACTCCGTTTTATTTCAGCAATCACGAAGCGAACGCTTGCCAGACTGCATCGAAATCAAGCACGTCGAAATGATGAATTTTTTAAGTAACACGATAGCAAGTAGAAGAAGTAAAAGAAAAAGAAATAGAGAAAGAGAGAGAGAAAAAAAAAGTGAGGAGAGGGAAGAGAGCGAACATCGCGATATCATTTCGCTCTCGCTATTACGCTCTTTTATTTGCACAATTCCAAAGCTAGAGTCGCAGACGGCAAAGTCCTTAAGCACGATAAATATCGTCTTCTTTCCTCGTCGTAGTAAACCCCCATCCACCTCCTCTTCCTCCTCCTCCACCTCATCCACCTCTACCATCTCCAGCACCTCCACCTCCTCATTTCTTTTTTTCCTCTTCTTTCTCTTTCCATCCCACTCGAGTCGTCCCCCTTTTTGTTTTATTTCGGATGTTCTTTCATTTCTTAAAAGGTTCCCGGTGATAATTAGCACAATGCGCGGCCACATTAATTATTAGCCGTGCTAATTACCCGAGGATAAATCGCTTGGTAAGGGGTAGACGAAAGAGGAGGGAAATAGGAGCGTAAGAGGGAAGGACGCTCGAGAGGACGTTGGGAGGGGATGTATACTGGGCGGAGAGGCCCATTACCGTTATTGCTGCAACAAACCGTCCAACAACAGCGATAAATACGAGCGAGAGGCTGGCGTTACAAATGTCTCTCTGAGTTATGATTATTTAGCGCCACGCTTGCCTACCGAGTAGTAGTAGTCGGCCCGTTTCGTTGTGGCCGGCAAAATCACCTCTATCTCTCTTGCTTTTCTATTCGAATTTATCTATATGTATGCGTATATTTATAATAAGCCACTTCAACGAATAATTTTATATTTTTTTAACTTATTTACTTTTCTTCTTCTTCTTCTTCTTTTTCTTTCATTTGACGAAAGATGGTATTTTTAAAATTATCTACTTTGTTTTATTTTGTCGTCGATTTTATACAAATTTTTCTAGATCACTAATTAATCAAGTTAAGTGGAAAATTCAAGCAAAACTCTTAACGATTTAGAATCCAGTAGAATTTTGTTTAGATTTTAATATAAGAATAATATCAATATATTGTAATTTTATTTCTATTGGATATTTGATTGTACGATAATTTTTAATGGCTTATTTAATGAGTATAATAAATAAGTATAATAAATAACGAGTTATAATTTTCTTTTGTCTATAAATCTGTAATAGAACTATGGCTAATTTTAATAATATTGTGCATGATGTATGAGTTATTTTATGAATATTTTTCAAAATAAAAATCACTAAATTATAGGACCCTTACTATGTTTAATTAATTTTTCGTTATTATGAGAATTTTGCTTGATTTTTATATTATTTATCTTAATCTATTAAATTATGCGAATAGCACAAATATTTCATGAAATTTAGTCATACTCCAATTGACACTATAACTAAAGTTATATCTAGATCTGCTATTTTAGAGTCCATCAGCAAAAATGAATTTAAAAAGAAGCTAGCCCCGACCTTTACTACATGAACGTAAAATTAAAAGTCTATTAAGGGTTCAGCATATTTTATATTAAATGCTTATTTTTGCGCAGGAAATTATACTATTTACAATTCAAATGCGTTCGGTATTATAATGAAATAGCTTGGTCATGTTTTCTTTTTAATGCAAAGTAACGCGAATGATCTTCCAAGAAGGAGATTAGAGTCTTGTATTTTTTTTTTTCTATCTCACGTTGACTTTATAAAAATAATCACATTCGATGAAGAAACATTGCTAATTGACTTATTCTTTATTTTATTTAAACAGATTTTTCACACCTCAATTAATTCTTTTCATTAATGGTTTAGATAAAAGTTCTTATGAAATCAAAACCTTCGACGAGTTTACATAATATATTTATTTGTCAATTTACTAGCATATTTTATAATATTATTGTATATAAATTGAAACTCATATGCCATCTTTAGAAAACTGCGCTTTTCCTTTCTTTTTTTTCTTACAATTAGTATTATACGATATTTTGATCTTATTTTTAAAGAGAACTTTATAAGAGTATATGACAATTAAATATCTATCAAAATTAATTATACAAATATAATTTATTATTATAATAGAAAAACATTGTTTTCAGATTATGTTACAATATTACACAATATGTAATAATTAAAAAAAATTGTCACTTTAACGGACACAAAATCTTTTGTATAACGTAAATTCAGCAAAAAGGCAAACGATATCATCATGTTTACTAATTGGGTCATTAAGGTAGCACAAGTAAATCACTTTTTTTGAAGTAGCACATTTAAATAGAAAATTAAAAACTTTTCAAAAATGAATACAATCATAATAAACCATTGTACAGAACATTTTGAAAGATTTTTCAATAATTTTTCTACAAATTATGTTCAAGCACTGCCATAATTAATTATGTACACACTAATAAATGTATTTAATTTATTAACAAATTTTTAATTTGCGTTAACGAATATGTCAAAAATTACGTATCCCTAAAAAAATCATAATACTTTCAATCAGATAATCTCTTTAAATAAATATCTGACATTACGCTATAATTGTTCAATTAAACAATTTTTCCTTACTGCATTAAACATAATATTAGATTGTTCAGTAAACTTTGATTTAATTATATTTCCAATATAGCATATTTTTTATATACGTGTAGATACACGCATAGACTTCAAAAGTAATTATTTAAAAAATAATAGTTTTACTGAAATACCATCAAAGTTTTAATCGATCAATAAAAAAGGAATCTACTATTGCTAACTGGTGTTTACCAATCAAAAACACAGTTGATTCACTTTAACCAAAGAATACAAAAGTAGATAGAAACTCACAAGTCCAGTTTTTTATTTAACCAAATTCTTCTGAGTTACTACCGGGATAACCAATGGGCAATAGAAGGTAGAATACTGTATTATTTTACAGTTTGTACCGTTCTTTGATAGTATTGTATCGTTCCTCATAGCGTTAAGTACTTACTAACGCCCACTAGTGTTCGCGGTAATAACTAAAATGAATTTTTTTGCCCGAAATATGCACTTCTAATGTTCTACTAAATTATATATTTTTTAAAATTACATACTAAAATCTTAGTCGATAAAACAGTTCATTACCATTCATCGATTGATAATACAGAAATTTATTAAACAAACTGAGTTTTGTGATAATGATTTTTTTTCATTTTTAATAACATACAGAAAAAATTTAGAAAAATTCGATTAGTATCATATTATCGAAGTAAATTTTGCATAAAATGATTTTGATTGGATGTCAAATAAAATTTATTACTATTTAACGTCACCCAATTCACTTGTTATAATTAAAAATTGTATAATTATACTACCATTACTTCCACCCCTAGCATTACAAATCTTTTAGCTACAAACAAAAAGATAAAATTAAGTTAATAAAATTAATAAATTAATAAAATTATGTAATAAAATTAAATTAATTTCGATCTTTCTCTCACTTATGCATGTACATTTAGCAATATAATTACTTGATTCGACGTTAAATGAAATATATAAATAAGGTTGACGTTTTTTAACATTTTCTGGTAAGAATCTATCAGAATTAAAGACAAAAGGATTTAGCCGATAATCTGCATTTTTAAATAAACTATTTTTGATTATGGAAACCATCGAACCAACTGAGACTATAATTTTCTGATAATTATTGTTTGCATCTTTCCTAAATATTTGCTAGTTATTGTTCATATATTTGAATAGTTGTTTATATATTTGAATTGTTAGAACAATGAACCCGACAGTTACTTACACTCTCTTAAATGGTTGGTATCTAGCGGATCTATGATCGTTGATCGATCGTATAAGAAAACAAAAAAGGAATGAGGAAAAGAGTTAGTGAATCGATATCCTTAAGCAGAATGTTGTTGACCGCTATTCTTTCTTTACGAGATCCTCTTTTTTTCTTGGCGATCAGAACGCTACTTCACACCGGTAAAATATACAGGTGAAGGTAACCAGGCAGAGCTATCCGAGGCTACAAGTTTAAGTTATTCAGTTTTACTATAACCGTTGACTGAGTACTGACGAGTTCTCTGTTAAACTTTAACTAACTTTTATCTATTCTTAGTGTTTATTTTTTGTTTATAGTGTTTAATATATTAAAATGGAACTACATTTATTTTTCGTAAGTTCAATTCAAAAGTTTTAAGTGCATCCTATAGTATTTTATTATTAAATAATTTCTTTTTTAAATATTTCGTGTAAAAACAATTATTTTATTTATGGGGATTTCCGTGTTTTATTTCTTTTTCTCTATTTTATATTCATTTTCTGTATTTATATTGATTTATTTATAGTTTTATTAACGCAAAATCATTTAACATCAATTTGTACGCGACACACGTTGATGCAATAGATAAGATGTTAATTTATTCAAAGAAAATAGCGGTATACAAACAGTTATTTATTATTTAAAGGATTTCAATTTATTTAAAATTGTTTTAAATATAAATATGCAAAAGAGATGTTTTATACTTAAATGGTTAATTTTATTGCGCGCAAAAATCATAGATTTGAAAAAAACATAATCAAATGTATATTAATAGATAAATAAATATATAATATGTATATAAATTAATTATAATAAAAGTATCAAGATTTTTATGATTCTACATAAAAGAAAAGAAAAGAAATATAATCTATAGTATAGTTATTCTGTTACATTTTTTTTAATGAAGTTCAATGACTGTGCGATGATTACGCCATTGTAAGACATTCCTTGAATCTTCCGGTTTGACCAGTGGTAGATTAAACGGTTACCGGACTAACAATTAGTAGCCGCGTAAGGGGCTCGAGATCTTAAAATTTCTTTTCATTGTTTTGTAACTTAGTTAATATATTGCGGTCTAAAATTTCTGATTACTTTTCTTTTTTATTAATAACTTAATGGGAGTTTTTTTTGAAACTTTTTTTTTTTATTTAGGTTTAAGAGTCCCGAAATTTTTAATGTAATAACTTAATGGGAGTTATTTTTTGAAACTTTTATTTTTCTGAGTTAGGTTTAAGAGTCCCGAAATTTTTATCGCTTGAGACTTTACTTGGCTTGATTCGCCACTGGGTTTGACTAATACAGGTTTGAAGATTTTGTTCTCAAAACTGTAACAACAATAAGTTTTGATGTAATCATAATTTTGTAACGTTAGAAACAATTCAAAGTAGCCTAAATACAAAAACAAAAAAATAAAATAAAACTTTTATGAAAACTTGTCTTTATATAAAACGCGTAACATCGCGTTTATTTTATATCGCGTATTATTTTTTAAATTATATCTTTATTACGTACGTCATATTATATTTTTATATTAAAAATACATTAAAAATAATAAATGAATGAAACTAATTTATTTTTTTATTTTCTGAAATTAAAACAATTTTTTATAGCATATAATTTAAAGTCGGCTTAAGCAAAGAAATGATATACAAATATTTACAAATAAATAAATGCATATAATTTATAATATCAAACGATATAATTAATGGACCACGTACCGTTAAGACTGAATGCATATAACGTGTCTACTAACGGGGAATGCCGTCAATGACCCGTATGTATCGCGCAGGTAGAGACTCACGTAGAAAGCAGATATATATATATATATATATATATATAATGACCCCGATTTTAGATTAGAATATACACATATTTTTGTTCTATCTCTTTTTGAAAAATACTCTAAAAAACGTACGTAGGTAAGTTGAAAAATTTGGCACCTAATGTAAAAACAATTTTTTTTTATCACACACATTTTATTTAAAAAAACAAGTTTTTGTATCGAGACTCAAAACTTTTCAACTCATCCTGGTATATTAACATACGTACGTTAAAAATATTTTTCATTCAAATTCGTAAGTGTTTCAGTTTTAATAAAAAATTATTACCGATCAATTTTATGTTATTTTATCTCATAAAATTAGAATTAATTTTTTTAATTTACTTATTATTCTTTTTAATTTCAGCTGTTAGTTTCGTGTATTTTAATTTCTGCTGAAGAATATCATACTACTAAGCGAACAAAGATAAGTAATACTGATACACCTATAGAAGAAGAACCTCCAGAAGGATATTATGCGTTCGTTGAATCACCAAATGCTGAACCACCTAAAGTTAAACCCCCACCTTATGTTGAAAGCGATAAAGAATGTCATGGTATTAAAATATTTTTCTTTTTTAATTCTTAAGTTTTATTAGTGGATATATTTCTTGAATTTTATATTATAATAATAAATTGATAAAAATTTTAGATACTGGTAAAGGAAAGGGATTTGCATCTGTATATAATATTTGTGGTGATTTGAATAAAGGATTTATACCTAAAAATCCTATGAAGCAATATATCAATGGATCTTCCTATCCATTGTAAGTAAAATGCAAAATATTATTTATTAATTTTTTCATATTATTCATATAATCCTTTATTTTATTTTAACGTATATACACATTTATATTTTGTAGCACTTTGATAAAAAATCATACTCTCAGGTTTTTGAGCAAAGCTTTGCCAATTTTAAAAGCAGACGAATCTTTACCTAAAGTTGCTAAAATTCAACCTGGACAAAACTCGTAAGTACAATGGTAAAAAAATATATTAATATATAAAATTATACATGCTACAATTTTGTATTGCTTTCTTCACAGAGTTGATTCTGATCAGAAACGAAGTAGGAATAAAAGATCTTCCGATACAAACGATAGTGCAAATCGTAATGCTCGCAAATTTTGTGAGAATGGTAGTGGAGTGTATGTTATTTTATTGATTTAATTTATAATAATATATGTATTATGTATTTTGTACTATTATCAAAAAATAATTTTTTTAAATATCTTTATTTAGAGTGTGTATGTTGTACAAGGCCATTCAAGGTGAACCATTGGTAACATCAGCAGCAGAACGTAGAGATGAGCCTTCGACGCAAGAATATCATCAACGAAATCCTGTTCAAGAAAAGCCAGAATATACTGGTCCACCAACCCCATGTCCAGCCAAAGTAGAATATGCTACTCCAGTATTTGCAAAAAATTATCAAGGAGTTTGGCGTTATGTTGTACAAATTCCTTATGAGGGTTACTTTACACAAACGATTGAAGTTACTCGATGCATGTAAGTAATATATATATATAATAAAATATAAATATAATAAAAGATAAATATTTTTATATTATAATTTAAAAATTATATTTTATCACCAAACATAGGCAATCAAGATGTCACTATTTAGATGGCGGTTGTTTATCTTCACCAAGATGGACGAGTTTACTGGTAGCTGAAATTTATTATCCCGAAACTTTTCTGGAAGGAAGCCAAACAGATAGATTTCCAGGTCCCAGAGATCCTGTAATTGGTGTACCACCACCTGTACATGATTTCCAAAATTATCAACAGTACTTGCAAAAGCGTGCAGGTGAAAATGAAGCACGTAATAGTGGTGGTTCTCAACATCATTGTGATGGCGTAGATGAAATGGGTTGTTTCCAGGTAACTTATTTGTTATAATTTGACAAAAAGTAAAGTAACAATTTATATGCTTGAGTAAATTCATCCTTCATTAATTCTTTTTCCTTTTCTCTAGGTACGATTGTATTATGATTGGTTTTTAATACCAGGCAGCTGTAAATGTTGGCGACCTGATTACTTCAATCGATATGTTCGTCGTAGTGGATCTAGTACCGAATTATGATCATACTTATTTTCATTTATATATAATAATTAGATATTAAACTTGCGTTTGTAAAACTATTAGTTCATTGTTTGTAATTAAAAGAGAACATTACTGGTCAGATGAATGAACGATAATAGATAGATACGTTCGAGCAAAGTTTAAGTTAAAATAAGTTAATTATAATTTAGATTAATTAATTATTCTAAGAATGTCTGCACATGAAAAAGGTCTCTCTGCGGAGAACATTTTCACTCGCATAAGATTTGTTTTAAAAATCAACAATAACAATTAATCATTAAATTATTCTTAACGTCATTGGATTTACAACACTGAGAACATTCAAAAGTAGTTTTCTCAATGAAGAGATTTTGCCCTTTTGATGCGCGACTGATTAAATTTTATAAATAATTAAATAATTACATAAATATATACACTAAGATATATATTTATGTTACAGACTGTCGTTGTGAGTCTATCTGTTTGTTTATAAATGTTATAAATATATTGTTAATTATATTCTAATTTCACGATTTTATTTTATTACTTACTTAATTACTCAAGATTTTTATTTATATGTATATACCTTTAGAAACAAAATAAAATAAAAAGAAAATTATATTAAAAATAATATTTTACTCTTACGTACTTAGATATGAAATATTTTGAAAAATTTAATTAGTATGAAATTTTATTTTATCTTCGTGGAAAGCGTAGTATAATAAATTTGTAAGTATTTATAGTTGATAAAAAATTACTCTTTAATCGAAGATAAATATGATATATATAAGATAAGTAACATTCAGTCGGCAAATAATTACATTATTTTTTTTTTTTTGGTAAGGACCTCGTGCCTTTTACAACGTTTTTTCATTCACTATACTTTCATGGCATTCTTAAATTTATCTAAATTAGCTAAAAAGAGATCGATATTGTTACATAATCATTGTGCTTCTTTCCCTCTTGTAATACTCTCCGCCTGTGTACTAAAGCAAAATGCTACTAGAATTAACTTCATTAAATTATATTTTTCTATAAATTTAAATATTTTCGATATGATATTAAAGAGTATTTTACTTTTGTCCTGATCATTAATAATTCATTCTTTTTTTTGGTGATAAAGAGGAATGCCGTAATTAAATATCCAATGATGAAATAATTATTAATTTAATAATAAATTACGTACGAGTATAAACTATTACATACTATAATAAACATAATTCATGATTTTCTAATTCGACATTGTTTGAACTTTTCTCTTTTACATTCATCTTCGTATATATTACACAATTAAAAATTATACAACTTCCATGTACATAATAACAAGAAAAGTGTATTGTACAACGGATGCTTTTTTTTTTTATATTAGACTTATTGTACAACAAAAATCTTCAACATAAGCAAATATTTAAATTATTTTGAAGATTGTTGATTTTTATATGCTTTGTATCGTTTTTTTTTTCTTTTTTCTTTTTTATCTTTTAATTAGTATAAATTATTTTTATAGATTGCTTTTCTTGAAATTATAGGAAGTATAATTATTTTCAATCTACATTGTCCTGAAAAATGAGTTTTATATAACCAGGTGAACCTTCAAGAGGAACTGCACAGAAGGGACAGATCGCGATGTAACCATTTGTACCGTGTGGTATTGCCACCTGTTCCCAGTATCTACAGATAAATGTATATTGTTATCATCGCCTCTTTACAATTTCATGATAAACAAACTATTACGTGTAAGAATACAAGAAAATTTTTTCTTGATTTATAATCTATAAAAAGATATTATTTTTTTTATGTAATCTTTAATACTGACTTCACAGTTTTTTCCGTAGCCATATGTCCACAAGGTCTAAATGCGTAAGTAGGTGGGCCTCTGTCGACGTAAAAGGCAGGTTCAATTCCCATTGTTAGTTTCACTACTGATCCGGCAACCAAACACATTGGACATTTTCTTGTTACTTTATCTTCTTCCTGTCCCCAATCGTGATGACCTTGTACGTGGCCACATTTTAAATAAACATATGGTTGCTGCTGAGCTGTATCTGCTGCTGCCTTACGTGGAATAACTAGAGTATTTAAGCCGACAGGACATTGCGGTCTGCCAGCATTTATAGCATCAACTAATTCTTCTAAATCATGTTTTGTCTATACAAAAAAAAATATAATATAGAGTATTTATATTAGATTCATTAACATGTAAATACTAATTAAAATTTACATTGAGAAACTTATAATAATAAATTTGAAAAAAAAATATTAAAATCAAATAAAATAATGGTACTTGCAAAATCTATATTACATTGATAGTAAATCATATTTATCACATTGAAAATATTTCTTGAAATTATCTATTTTTTTTTTTTTTTAACAATAAAATAGATTTTATTTACCGGTGATTTTGCAAGACCTTCCGCTGATCTCCAAAGTAATGTAGCCCCACATAAATCGATAAGAGTACCATCTTGTAAAATATTATTTTCATCCTCTACATAATTTCCCTTTTGTTGAGCACTTCTACTCTCTCTAAGAGAAAATACTCCGCCACCGACACTAACTTCTCGCCAAAATCCACATTGGGCTTCTCCGCTACAGAATTGTCCACGTGGATGCATTATCAAAACTCCATTAGTTGTCAAACCATCAATTTCTCTATTTTCTTGCCATTTTGTTGCTTTTTCCTATACTCAGAAGAAATATGTTCTTTTTCCTCTTAAGATACAACTCTGAATATAATAATGTATTTATTCTATTATAAATCTTACCCCTAGAAAGATGTTTCTAGAACTATCAAAACCAGCAGCATAAATTCTAGCAATTCTAGGATTTGATCGATCAGCAAGAATTCTACAGGCAAACCTACTAATTGTACTCTGAGCTACCCGTCCTTCATTTGCAGTTCCGCAGTCGCTCCCACCAGGACATGTATCCATTACCACAAAATCAATTGGTGATTCAGATGAACGACCAATCTATGCAATGATTAATTTGTTTAAATAAAAAACATATGTCACAGGTTTTACTTTAGATAGAAATACGAATATGTAATATCGTTTTTTTTTATTTTGATTTTTCATCGGAACTTACTTGAAACATATCTGTTTCTTCATCTTCCGTATATTCAACTATAACAGCTTGTGTTCTAGAAAGTGTATACGAAATTGAATGCTGTTTTGTATTAAGAATGGCTTGTGAACTGTGAGGAGTTTTAACAATATAATGTTTACTACGTTTAACACCATTTGGTATTGGTCTTTTAAATAAAAGGAATTTGCTTCTTCTCCTACCACGATCACCAGGTGGAAGATATCCGTTATACCTATAATAATGACTGAATACATTAATAAACCACAATCTTTTTTAGTTTATTTAAAATTTAAATATTCTTTAGAATTAATATTATTCATATTTGATAATTAAAAAATTGTTTAGTATATGCACGACAAATACATATACTGTAAGCGTATTATATATTTTTACCCAAGAATAACTAATTCTCCATATTTTACTAGCTGCTTTGGTTTATCATGGCGATGACTGTGACATTCGTGAGGATTCACATGTTGTCGATTATGAGGATGTTTATTACGTGGACTATGAGGTGGACCGAGTGTTTCTCCTTCTTCCACAAGCAATGGGCTTTCGCTACTACCACCATCCGATCTGAAATAATTTATATACTATCTATATTTAATCTTTTATACTAATTACTACATACAATATGTATATACTTTTAGTACAATTATTTTAAACGCTTATAAACTTAATTAAATAAAAATATCGATTACAAAACCAAAATAAGTTAAGTATAAAAATATACAGAAATTCTTTAACTTTATGAAGAAAAAATTTCAATTGTTTAATTATTATTTTACTTGCAATGCATATATATAATTTCTTATTATTAATCATACAATATTTCTTTTCTTTTCATTAAGATTATCTAAGTAAGATGTTTAAATGGTATAAACTTTTAATAAAATTATACGCGTGTACAATATACATAAAAAAATATATATTTATTGTAAAAAAACTTCTTTTAAAATATGAAAAACGTTATAAAAAATACATTATTTTTCATGTGTTTTCAACATAAATGAAAACAAAATTCCAATAGTATAACATTAATCTTTAATATATAAGAGCAATGAAACCTTATCAATACGATATGCATATATAAAATGTCAAGATTAGTTACCGTATCACCATTGTGTGTTCTGCTTTTAAACCAATTTTGTTCCAACCGTGAACACTCGCAACATGAGCCACTTTGAAATGTTAATAAAAATAAACTTTATTTAATGAAAATAATAAAACGTTATATGACTAGTCCAATGAAGTACACGAATCCGTTATTATAAATGCGAAGCTCAACAACATTCGAAATATAAATTGGACGTTTCATGATTATAAGTTACACGATAATCACATTTATTACCGAGTGTGCATAACACGCTCGTAGCTTTAAAGTTCAACACACTCTTATTATCGACATATACGTAAACGCTTTACATCCTATATATATACGTGTGTGTATATATATATAAGATTTTTATATATAATAATATTAAGAAATCTCTATAAAGATATAGATCACTTCAAGACAATTTTCTTGGATTGTTTTCGTTGTGATCATTCGGTCAAGATAGATCCGTACAATATATGTAATCACATAAAAGACTTCAAGCTTCATTTCTATTGTAAACTGCCATCTACATAGATTGTCTTAAATCACTTAAAGCTTCGTCTTGATTGGTCGATACTAACCTATTGTATCTCTATCTATTTGTATATTCTGACTTTATATTATTTGTTATTTTTGTATTTTTATTAATCATAAATGTTTTCTCATATTATTACATTGATTAATCAACTATTTTATAGTAATATAAGCTATAGAAAAATATTTTATTTAGTCTAAAGACTTATTAATATTCCTCTAAATAACGACCAATGGTAAAACAGTAATTTAGACATGGACGTATCGTAGACGTCACGTGATTACTTCTAATTGGTCCATTGATGACAATTTTAATTCAAATTTTTAGCGGCATATATCAAACGACACTTTTGATATTAGTTATTGTATCTTTGTAATTCTAATATTAATAGTAAATGTAAAAAATTATTATAGTAACAAGATATGAAGAATTATAATAGTAACCAGACATTTATGTCAAAATTTAAAAAGAAATCTCAGAAAAATGATTTAGACTTTATTCTTACAAGTATTATCCAAATTTTTAATGAGGCTATAAATAAATTTCAATTAGCGGTAAAAAATATTTAAAAAATAATAATAATACTTATATATATTATTCTAGCTATATTCATATAGAGTTATATATAATTGCAGATTGTAGTGCCTTTATTAATTGAAAATTCAATATTACAATCACTTCTTACAAAAGAAGAAATGGAGTTAATAAATAATATTATATTATTTACTGATAAAAACCATCAATCATATTCATGTAATTAGAAATGGTTTTTATATGAAAATTATTCTTAAATTTAATTATTTTTATTTAATTTTTTTTTTTTAATGTAATTAATTTAGCTTTATCAAGAATTTCCAATATTTCTGACGAATCGTCTACAAGTGGATTATATGAAGATGGGAATATTACCGATGATATGTTTTTCAAAATGTTCAAGGTATTTTTTATTTCATTAATGAACATTTTCATTTATAAAACAAAAAGATTATTTTTTAATTAGATATTGTATAGTTATTCAAGTATTCGTGCAGCTGCTCTTTCTTATCAAATGAATATTTCAATGCAATCGTCATTATTTAAAAATTATATTTATTATTTTATGGATTATGCCATATCATTAATGCAAGTAATGCCGAACGAAGAAATGACAAAAACTTTGCATTATAGGAATATTTGGTTTCGTCATAAAAACGCTCTCACAGAAATCAGAAGTAATTAATATATTGCAACTTATTTCTTTTTTTTTATATCACTATATTTCCTTATAAAAACATATTTTTCTATGTTATTAGAACTTAGTACAAATTTAGAAATGCAAAGAGAAGATAAGGAAAAGATTATGGAAAGTACAATGACACAATACAAAAACGATACAATGATTATCGATCGATTAAATCGAATGTGTTTAGAAGATATACAAAGTATTGGGTAAAATTATGAAAAATCAAAACGATATTTTTAACTCAGAATTAAATGGTTACTTTAAGAAAAAAATTATTTCTTTGTTTAGAAATAATTATGAGAAGAAACAATATTTGTTTTACAAAAGTTGGGAATTGAAACGAGATAAGTTACATGATCAATTAGATCAAATCAAGAAAGAGTTAGAAACTATTAAAACTACGGATTTCAAAACGATAGCGAATATTAATAGCAGAAGGTTATTTTCTCTTTCTCTCTCTCTCTTATATTTTTTTAAATCTCTATTAAGAATAAATGTAATATGTACCATCGAATATAATAGAAAAATAATAATATTATATTTATCCTTTCAGTATACAATATAATATTATTTATTAATTTAAATATTTGTAACATTTGATTTTTGTAGAATGAAAACCGAAGCTCAGTTATTGAGTTTAATTAATAAATTCGATGTAGATATGGATGAAAAATTATCTGAGTATGAAGAACTCTGCAAAACTTATGAATCAGATGAGATGGAAAAAAATGATTTAAAGGTATACACACACGAACACATATTATTTTTGCCATTTTTGTTATTCTACCATATATACTATACAGGGTGATGTCTTAATTTGATAACTTCAAATAATTTTTAAGTTATTCGTTGTACGAACAAATGTTTCAAACAAAAATTGCATTTTGTCTAAAGAGGCATATAGTACTCTAATCCGTTTTTATTTATTTTACTTATTTTACTATTTTTAAATGGAATGTCTAATATTTTTGATCGAATTTGGATAATTAATTAAATCTTATGTAAAAATATATCACACAATTTTAGACTTTATTTTACTAACATTCTTATAAATCGGTTCGCTTCAGTGTTTGATGTAAATTGCTGTAGGTACGTCATTGATACTGAGTAATCGCTACATTTTTTCAAAATTTATTTTTATACGTATATATTTTTCCTTTGCACATTAATATTCTTTGACATTAATTGTATTTATATTTCCTCACCTGTATTCTCACTTTTTTACTTGTTGTCACGCATTAACTTCAAAAATCTTTAGATTTATTTAAGTTTTTCTAGAGGGGTCAACTAAAAAAGTTGTCAATTTGACGTGGAATGACAATATATATTTATTATAATGTATTATAAATATATAAAATGTGTATATTATATATTTATAGTATTAATGAATTATGAAGTTAAATTTAGCTATAAACTATATACAATTTAATCTATTTAATTTAATTAAGATTATTAAGAATTTAATTTAATTATAAATAAATATTTATATATTTATATATACATTATGTGCATTCATTATTTCAGGCGGCAATAAAATTACAAGAGGATACATACAACTTATTTTTGAAAAATGTTTTTGATGAAACTTCGGAATATTATACAGGTTAAATGAAATATATTTAATTATCTGTTATTCCTCAAAACATAGACATTTGCTGAAAGTGATTAATACTCATAAGCGTTTAGTAAGACTTTATTTGCATATAAGAATCGAACTGGAAACTCTTAAACGATCTTTGATAATATAGTATTAAGAACATTTCAAAATCCTGAAGGACAACGTTATTAAACGTTATTAGTGATTAATTACAAACAATATACAATAAGAAGTTTATTACAATAGGAACTTGTTATGAATATCTTGGAAGTATATTAAACGTTAGGAATATATTTTGGAACAATAGATAAGAAAGTTAGAATCCATACATAATTAAGTAAATTACAAATAATGTGATTGTTTATTTAATTGAAAGAATAAAAATTAACCGAAAATTTGTAAGAAATTAGAACAAAAATATAAAACACTTGATATGTTTCTTTATTTTTATAGTAATACAAACGACTAAATTGTTGAACATTCTATTCTTGAAACTTTATTTATTACTTATTATACTTTTTATACGCATTATGTTATTATAAAATATAAAATTATTTTCTACAATTGTTTTTCAATTATAAAAGGAATAAAATTTGTTTACAGAATTGTCCGATTCCATTACTATATATATTCTATATATATATATATATATTAATGTTCAAATACATATAAATACAATAAATACTAAAAAAAAAAAAAAAACATTTGAATATTATTATCAACTAGTATAGAAATTTGTAAGCTTATTGCAACAAATATCAAATTTTGCCAATGTTTTTGTTTTTGTGCAAGATCCTCATTTGCAACCTTCGTATCTCATTTCGATAATTATAAGATGTATTTTAATTAAAGATCTTTTTTCATAGTCTTTCCATTTACGTATTAAAGTATTCAATAGTTTTTTCCCGATTAGATGTTTTCCTTGCTACTTTATACGCACTTTGATCATTTTTTATACTAGTCATTTTTATTGTTTATCATTAATGTCATTTTATAACGTCAACAATATCGAATAATGAGTATAGAAGTATTAAAAGCTAAAAGAATGTTGGTCATGTGCGTGAGTACTTATGAAATAATACGATCGACAAAAAATCGTAATTCTACTACTAGTAGAAGATGTGTGGCTGCATGCATGTGATCAAATTATAGATCAATAGTCAAGAGTCAAGTCAAAGATAAATTAAGTTATTGGCAAATAAAGATAGGTGTTATTTAGGAGTTTGTATATGATATTAATTTTTTTATAAGTGCATATATATCAGAGTCAGAGTAAGATTCTCAAAGTGAGATTATAAATAAAGTGTCGGAGAATAAAAGCGAAGAGTCGAGAATCGGGAGTATTTGGAGATAAGAATCTGAGACTGTGTACATTTTATTACTTTCTATATATTTTTTCTTAAGTAAATATAATACAAGACATTTAATTATTTAGATTATTATGCTTCGGTTCGATTAAGCGACTTTTAAAAGACTCTGTACATTATAATTATTAATTAATACATTGATGTATTTTATAATAAAAAATGTACTTAAGATCTAATGTGATTTACTTACGAAGATTTCGTTCACGTTCCCAGAGAACCCATAGATCAGATGACGTAAACAGTCCATGTTGTATAAAAACAACAGGTTTCTTTGTAGTATTGTTTGATATAGGACTATAAGATACATTATGTATTATATCTCTTATTAATTTACAAAAAATATATTATATAAAATTGTATAATTAATTAAATATAAAAAATAGTTAATTACAAGGTAAAATAAAATTGATTTCTCTTTATAAATCATTTAACATAGATATATATTATACACGTTACATCTAATGTAACTGTTTCTTTTTTTTGTTTCGTTTATGTTAATATTTCAAATAGAAGTTTATGTACAAAGTAGTAGGTCTGAAGGAGAAGAGAAGATTTTATAGTAATTAGCATTTAATTATACGAAAGAAGACTATATAAAGTTGGATCGATCGTGTTTTCTTTATAAAGAAGATTCAGTTGTGCTTCGGAAGATATTACGAAGATTCATAGTTTATCTATTTTATACGTAATTGAAAAAATACAATGAAATTAATTGCTTTAATGGTGCTAATGTTATTCGAGTATTGTTCTGGAAGAACTTCATCTTTTTCTTTGCTAAAATATATTTTATCTTCGAATGGAAATGAATTGAAGAAAGTAAGAAGCGAATCGGAACTTATAGATGACAATACTGTTTTAGATTTCGTAAGTTTAATATTATTTTCTTTTTTTTTTTTATAATAAAATATAGAAGTACTCTAATACATTAGAGTATTTTATGATTCCTGCGTGCGATGTAATATGATTTAATTCATAAATACAAGTGCAGTTTTATTGTAATGAACATTTAACTTATTTCTTATAGCACGTTAACAAAATATAGTACATTAATTCATAAATTTGTTACAAAAAGTAATTTGAATTTTATTTATTGCCAATGATCATATATACACACACAAAAATATTGATAATATTGTTTCGTAATCAATTTCTATTGACAGGTTTCTTACTAACACTCAAAACAAATATATATATATATATATATATATATATATCATTAGAATTAACTTTGTGAAATTCGTTAATTGATTCGTGAAATGATTAGCTAAACCCTGCAATTATTAAACTGACCAGTGAATGTATGAAAGAAGACAGAATTATATACTTCAACTAATCGTAATTAGTTATTCTCTAAAATTATTTGTTTTAGCGTCTAATAAAATTCTGTTAATATACTTTCTACAAAAAGCCGAATTATTTTATGAAAAAAAAGCCTTAGGGTTTCATGATTTAACTGAATTATATAACTTAATGTCAACATATATACATTTATATAGATTGGGTTAGTTGAACGTCACGGATATCCAGCCGAAGAGCACAAAGTTATTACAGATGATGGTTACATTATAACAATACATAGGGTACCTTATAGTCCTATATCAAACAATACTACAAAGAAACCTGTTGTTTTTATACAACATGGGCTGCTTACATCATCTGATTTATGGGTTCTCTGGGAACGTGAACGAAATCTTCGTAAGTAAATCACATTAGATCTTAAGTACATTTTTTATTATAAAATACATCAATGCATTAATTAATAATTATAATGTACAGAGTCTTTTAAAAGTTGCTTAATCGAACCGAAGTATAATCAATTTCTATTTTGACAAGTATTTAGAGAGGCAGAAATTAATAAAGATTCATATCTAGAAATACAAAATAAAATGTTGTTATTTTATTAATAAACTAATATTGATTTTTTCTTCTTTTTTCTCGATAGAGTAAATTTTGGGACACCTTATATATTATAATATGATACAAATATAACTTTCAATATACTTTAATATATGATAAAAACTCTCAGAGAAAAAAAAAGTGAAAATCACTGATAATTATATTTAACAACACAAATACCCTTATCTTACATTTAAAAAATTTTAAGTCTATATACTGTTATTGTTAAAAGTGTCGATAACGAACATATATTTGATAAACAATTATCGACAATTTCACATTTCATCGATCGATATGTGATCTAATAGATTAAATCTTTCGTTAGGACATACTTTGGCGCGAATATCGTTTCACTTAAATTCGCTTGTACATACGTATCGTCGCACGGTACAATCCTTATATGGGTTGTTAGTAACGAAAAAAAAAATTGTTAAATATTACATTTTACATTTACATTTATTTTTAGTATAAATATACATTTTACATAAAGTGGGTGTAGAAAGATCATACACTAATCAATTTGAAATAAAACTTCGTGAAATTATTGATTACTAACTAATTTTTTATAAACAAAAAATAGGTAGAATGCAACAAATAATAATAAATTTATATAATTTACGAAATTAATATATGTAGGTTGAAACTTAAATAATGGCAACTATTTACTCACAACTAATACAAAAGAGTTGCATGTTTGCACCTGTTACTGTCCCTCAAAGTAGTCACCAACGTTGTGTAGAACCCGTTGCCAGCGATGTGGAAGGCGTAGTATACCGTCAGCATCATATATATGATACAAAGAGAAAATAATAATAGTATTTATAATAAATAATAATTATACTCGTTTAGCTTTTCTACTTGCTGATAAAGGATATGACGTTTGGATTGGAAATTGGCGAGGAAATTCCTATTGCAGATCTCATGTTAATATGACGACGGAAAACCCAAATTTTTGGAAATTCAGGTATAAATAATATAAATATAAAATAATCAATAATGTTTGAATAAACATTTTAAATGACTCTAAAAGAATATTAATTACTTCGGATAATAAACTTTTTATTTTCAATGACGTTGCAAAGTATTTAAAAATATAACGTTTATCAGTATAATTTCGTCTACAGTAAGTTTCGTATAGTATTGAAAAATTATCGATGACGTATTTTAAGACGAATTTTTTTTATTACATACGTATGCTACTTTTAAAATATGAGATCCATTATTTTGTGAAATAATCAACTAAACCATGAAATAGATATACTGACCGGTTGAAGTATGAAAGAAGTTAGAACTGCATACTTTAATTAGGTAATATAAAAATTCACGAGAGACAAGTTTGTAAAGAATCAAATTGAAATTTAATTTGTATATTAAATCCGATAGAACAGCATATCTAATAGAAAATTGTTTTTTAAAGTACGAGAAAATATAAAAATAGATAACTACGACTATTGTTGTAAAAAAAAAAACAGCAGAGTTTAAAGGTGGATTACATTTTAATTTCATGCTTTTACTATTCACTTCTCGTGAATTCATATTTTATTTACAATTAGTTATTTCATAAAACAACTGTTTTAAGTGTATAATAAAATTTTGTCTATATATTTTTCCTAAAACACTTAGTTATTACGTGTTTTAAAATTTTTCAGAAATTAATCATATTATACAGTTTAACGGTAACACATACATATTAATATAGATATAGAAGATACATAAAATTCATTTCCTAGGTAATATAACATTTATTTTTATTTCATATTGTTTATATATGGACAAATGATTTCTGTTCAACAGCTACCACGATATTGGCTTACACGATATTCCTAAGAGCATCGATTATGTTCTTGATTATACAAACTCAAAGAAATTATTTTACATTGGGTATTCTATGGGTACAACGATTTCCTACGTTATGTTATCAATGAAGCCGAGTTACAATGATAAAATGAGATTAGTCATAAGTTTAGGACCTATTTCTTACTTTAAACACAAATTGCCACCACTTTTGGACAATCTCATGAAATTAGTTCCACAATTTAAGGTACATATTAATTGTTTGCATATACAGGTCTCCCTCCAACAACGCGGTAGATAGGTTCCTAGAAAATGCCGTGTTATTTGAAACCGTGTTGTTTGAGACCCAGAGCTAATGCAAAAAGGGGGGTTACGTTCCGAAAACTTTTTAAAAACAAATATATCTTTTTTTTTAAATAAACAACTTAATTTTTTTATTAAAAATATAAATGTATGAACAATACAAAACAAAAAATATTATCCTAATTTAACGTAACTTTAATTTAATTTATTTCTTCGTCGTCACTGCTCAATTTAATCAACTGAGAACGTTTTTTCGGTGAAATGATATCGCCTTCACTTTCAGAACGTTTTTCTTCATTTAAAGTTCTTGCATTTTCTTCCCTCTTTAAAAAATCTGTAATTTTACTTTGTTTGTTGTTTATTACCTGGTCATTGTAAATTTCTCGGTATGGAGCAAGACAGTCTCGATGCTTCTTTTTGAATTTTCGGCTCCTTTCTTTGGAAGGATCTGCATTCAAGAAAAATAACTCGAGATTTTCAGCTAAGCTTAGGCCTTCTTGTAATATTTTTAATGTTAACTTATTAACAGCACAATCTAAGATACCGTGGTGTTGGAGGGATACCTGTATATATAGTAGAAATAAAATATGTTTACATATGTGTATGTATGAAGATTATTTGCATAAAGAAAACATTTTTTACAGATCATGTTCGAGGAAAACGGTATTTATGAAATCCTCCCACAATCAAAACTAATGAAATCAGTAGGTAAATATTTATGTAGAGAAAAATCAATTGCCCTGCCAATATGTACATCACTACTGTTTCAAATTTCTGGACATGATAGTGCACAATTGAATGAAGTAAGTTAATAACAGTTTATGTAAAATGTGTGTATATACATATAATTATACTTTTAAGTATTATATTTATTTGTTTATTTATTTAGATAATAATAATAATAATAATAATAATAATAATAATAATAATAATAATAATAATAATAATAATAATAATAATAAATTTATAATTAAATGAAATCAGAGATTAAATTTACATATGTATTTAAAGATGACATAAGGTACATAAAAAATCTTCTTTACAGTCAACAATATCATACATTATGAATTATATGCCTGCTGGCGCATCGACTCAAAGTTTTTACCATTACTATCAAAATTATTTAACAGGTAAAATTGTTTTCTTTTACAGATATTGTCATTATGAGATATTATTACTTATTTGAATTTTTAAGATAATGTACAATTTTTTTTCTTTAATCGATTTTATTATAAGGTAATTTCGAAGCTTATGATTACGGATACGAAGATAATCTTATTAATTATAAAACACCAAAACCTCCAATTTATAACGTAAAGAAAATAGTTGCACCAACTGCATTAATCTATGGGCTTAACGACGCTTTATCAAATGAAAAAGTAAGTTTAATTTTATTATATTTTTTCTTATTCTTTTATTCATTTCTTTAAAAATGTTGTTCTAGGGTGTTACAGTATTGAGCAAAAAATTACCTAATCTTGTCACCTGCGAAGCTGTACCGTACGAATATTTTACCCACTTCGATTTTTTTATGGCGAAAGATATAAGATCATTATTACTTGATCGAGTATTAAAATTAATACAAGATTTTTCATGATTTATTTAAATATTATAAAATCTATAATAAAAGTGTTTAGTAAATTTAATATGTGTTGTACAGTGATTTAAGTTGTAAAGTGATTTCGAAAATGTGCCCAAAAGCCTAAAATAAAAGTTTTTGAAGTAAAAACTTCTTTTTCTCACACCTGGATGGAAAGTACGTATTTTGCTCCCTGTTTTCAGGGAGCAAAGTGCCACATTCCCGCCCGCTTGAATCTGTGCCAGGGAGAAAAGTGCCTCATTCCCTCCCGCTTGAATGTAGTAACGAATTAGTGCGCATGCTTCTATTTTTTAGCGCATGCGTACTAGTTCCTTAACCTTAAAAATGTTTTAATAAATTACTGCTCATGCTTATATATATTATATATTATGATATATAATTAATGGTTTTTTCTCACACCTGGATGGAAAGTACGTATTTTGCTCCCTGTTTTCAGGGAGCAAAGTGCCCCATTCCCGCCCGGTTGAATCTGTGCCAGGGAGAAAAGTGCCTCATTCCCTCCCGCTTGAATGTAGTAACGAATTAGTGCGCATGCGCTAAAAAATAGAAGCATGCRCACTAGTTCCTTAAYCTTAAAAATGTTTTAATAAWTTACTGCTCATGCTTATATATATTATATATTATGATATATAATTAATGATTTTAATAACATGTGTTGTCTCATATATTTTATATTTTATTTATTTTTACAAGTTTTAAAGATATTTGTTTAGTTAAATATTACAAACATAAATAGGTTACTACGTATACATTTAGTTATTTTCTTGATTATGAGATTTGTATTTGTTATTATTTA